TGTCCCCTCAGACGGAGGACGCAAAGCCGTCCGGGCCTCCAGTTGTCTTTGTGAGAAGACTTTAACGACACGTGAAGATCACAGATGCAGCTTCTGCTGGGACTGTTTTTCGTAGGGTTTTGGTGGGACCGGTGAGATTTCTGTTCCTCCTTGTCACTTGTGTCAGACATCCTCTTGGAATTGTCTGAGTAATTGGGACTCAGAGTGTGGTCGGACCGTGCTCCCGGGTCTCCATGTCCCTGACCCGGGCACTCTGTGCTTTCAGCCCTTTTCCTGAGTTGGTCTTACTGGGGATTTTTCGGTTTGGCCACCGTGTTCATCTTTCAGAGCGTCATTCGTGGGCCTCCTGCCTGAATGGGGTCTTCTCTGTTACTCTCCGCCGTGACGGCTTCAGCTCTGTGCGCTCTTTCAGCTTCTTCACTCAGAAGCTTTGGTCACTTTTTTAAGCCTCTTTTTTCTGATATTTGCAATTACAGCTATTTGTCACTGCTGGCTTTGCTCCAGCTGGAACCCACATGTTTAGAGATAGCTATTTTTCGTTTTCATTCTTTTTTTTTTTTTAATATTTACTTATGAGAGAGAGAGAGAGAGAGAAGGAGAGAGAGAGAGAGGCAGAGACACAGGCAGAGGGAGACGCAGGCTCCACACAGAGAGACTGATGCAGGACTCCATCCTGGGTCCCCGGGGTCATGCCCTGGGCCAGAGGCAGATGCTCGACCACGGAGCCACCCAGGCATCCCATGTTCTGTGGGTTTTTTGAGGTTTTATTTTAAACCCCCTCTAGTCTCCTAGCATTGCTGCCCTGCAGCAGCTTCCCTGGTGCAGACATCTCCCGTGCCCTGGCTGCAGGGCTGCCGCTCGTCCCTGGGACTGCAAGCAGCCTCTCCATCCTTGGCCTCATCCTGTCTGCGACCGTCTCCCCCAGTCTGGACACCTTTGAAGAGACCTGGCACTCTGGAGTTGGCCTCGGGCTCAGGGTGATCCCGCAGAGCTGACACCCTTGTCTTGGCCCCATGTCGGGGTACTGGCCGCAGTGACCCGGGCCTGGAGTGCCCTTCCATGTCCCCCCCCCCCCCATGCTGTGTTCCTGGGAGAGGCCGGGCCGTGCTCGGACCGGAGGGGTGTTGCTGTGCCGCAGGGTAGGGCCCCTGCCACGACCCACAGGACCACGGGGGACCGGCCGAGCATCCCCTGCGAGGGTGGCGCTGGCCCCACGCTGCCTGCCGTCTCCCCTCCCTCTGCACCGCGGCACTCGCCACCGCATCCTGCACTCAGTTCCATGTGCGTGAAGCCCTGTCGGGTCCTTGCTCCGCGGGACTGTTGTTTCTTCTCCCTGTGGCGTCCGCTGTCCTCATGCCGTGTCCTTGTTCTTTCTGATAACCCCTCCTGCAGGAGTCCGCGCCCCGCCTGGAGGGAGAGGCCTGTGGAGCCAGCTGCGAGCCTCCCCCGTGGACCCCGCCGGCAGCCGCTCCTCCTCCACCCCTGAGCCCACTGTCAAGGTCTTTATCTGTGTCTGCTCGGCCGTTCGGTTCATTTTGAGTTTTGTTTTGTTTCGTTTTGTTTTTAAGCAGACTCCATGCCCAGTGTGGAGTGCATCGTGGGGCTTGAACTCACGACCCTGAGATCGAGACCTGATCGAGATCAAGAGTATCACACACTTGTGATACACTCAACTGACTTGAGCCACCCAGGCGCCCCTAATTTTGAGTTTTAAAACACGTTCAGTAATCATGTTTTTAATTGTCAAAGGCTGTGACTTTTTTTTTTTTTAAGATTTTTGTTTATTCATGAGAGACACAGAGAGAGGCAGAGACACAGGCAGAGGGAGAAGCAGGCTCCACGCAGGGAGCCCGATGTGGGACTCGATCCCGGGACTCTGGGATCACGCCCTGAGCCGAAAGCAGACGCTAAACCGCTGAGCCACCCAGGTGCCCCAATGGCTGTGTCTTTTTAATTATAGGGTCTTGATATGTTTCTTTTTTTTTTTAAGATTATATTTATTTATATAACAGAGCGAGAACACACACAAGCAGTGGGAGCAGCAGATTCCCCGCTGAGCAGGGAACCGACGCAGGACTCGATCCCAGGACCCTGAGATCATGACCTGAGCCGAAGCAGATGCTTCACCAACTGAGCCACCCAGGCACCCCTCTCTTGATACATTTCTGTGGATTGATAGCTTTTTGGAGGATGTGATGGGCTTTGAAAGCTTTTTTTCCGTTACCAGTCTGCTTGTGGAGCCTGGTGCTTCTCTTCCCTCTCGTTGCCCTTTCCCACAGGAGGTTGCTGGCTCTCTGTGCCGGTTCTCACTTCTGCACGGGTGCCCTTCTGTAGCCAAGCAGGCTTCTGTTGGCCACCGGGTGCCTCTGGGTGTCCCCAGAGCTGGTCACAGGAGTCGCTGTGCTGCGTGGCCCTGCTGGAGCACCCCAGTGTCTGCTGCGCTGGCCTTGGGGCCCAGCTAGCATCGTGAAGGTCGTCCTGGCCTGGGGTGGGGGTGGGGGTGTCCTGTGGATGGAGGACCTGCAGACTCGAGCAGTTATGACTTAGGCCCTTCCTTCTGCATGTTCCTGGGGGCGCTTGTCCTGCCCCCACCCTGCTCTGGGTTCCTTCTGCTCTCCCGTCCAGGCCGGGCCGTAGCCGTGGGCCTGCCAAGATGCTGTTCAGCCACTGGCTGGAAAGGAAAGGCGGGCCTTATTTTCAGAAAACGCCAACATCTTGAAGGCAACTATGTACTAGCATGTTTACGTTCAGCATTCGTTTTTTTTGGGAGGAAACCTAAGGAGAATAAACTACGGTTAGTTACTTAGGAATCGGATCCAAGAAGTTTATTTATTAATGTCTTTGCACAATTGTCTGCACGTGCTTGCTGACCTCACATGGATTACAAATTCATTTGGGGAGTGACTGCTAATGGGTACAGGGTTTCTTTTGGGGGGAAGAAATGTTCTGAATTGTGTTAAATATGCTAAAGCCATTTTTAAAATTATTTTTATTTATTTTTATTTTCTTTAAAGATTTCATTTACTTATTCATGAGAGACACAGAGAGAGGCAGCGACACAGGCAGAGGGAGAAGCAGGCTCCATGCAGGGAGCCCGACGTAGGACTTGATCCCGGGACTCCAGGATCGCGCCGTGAGCCAAAGGCAGATGCTCAACCACTGAGCCATCCAGGCATCCCAGAACCATTTTTTAAAAAAGATTTTATTTATTTATTCCTGAGAGACACAGGGAGAGAGAGAGGCAGAGACAAAGGCAGAGGGAGAAGCATGGGTAGAAGCTCCCCATGCAGGGAGCCCGACGTGGGACTTGATCCCAGGACCCCAGGGTCACATCCTGGACTGAAGGCAGATGCTCAACCGCTGAGCCATCCAGGTGTCCCAAAACCATTTTTTAAAAGTTTTTTTTTTTTAATTGAGAGACAGAGGACACGAGCAGTATAGGCAAAGAGAGAAACAGACTCCCCACTGAGCAACGAGCCTGATGTGGGGCTCCACCCAGGACCTTGGGATCACGACATGAGCCCAAGGCAGACAACCAACCACTGAGCCACTCAGACGCCCCCAAAACCATTGAATTGTATACCTTAAGTGGGTAGATTGTATGGTATGTGAGTTTTATACAATAAAGATATTATTAGATAACTTCCTGCAATAATTCTGAGCCCCCAGGCTACCAGAGAGCCAGCAGATGGGGCCTCAGTGTTCACAGGGCCATCAGCTGCTCTCCGTACCTGCCAGGTGTGCTGGGATGAGTGTGTGCGTGCCAGTGGGGAGCCAGGGATAGACCCTGCGGCCTTTCTGTCCAGTCAGGGCCGTGGGCCTCGGGACAATGACCCCGACCCTATATCAGTTCAGTGTAACTGGAGGGCTGCAGGCAGGGCAGGAGTGCTCTGTTGGGAGGCTGTGTTGACTGTCAGGTCCCCTAGTTGCCGGACCATATGCCAGACCATGCACCAGGTCCCCAGGTGCCCACCCTTGGCTGGCAGGTATTGTCAGGAGCATGTGTGCGGCGGTCGGGAGCCACACAGGCCTTGCCTTTCCCCGCCTGCTGCCCCTGTCGGAGAGCAAGGGATCTGCACTGAGCCTTTGTGGGCACCCGAGTCCCCCGCTTCTTTCCCTGGTGCAGCTGAAGGTGGCCTTTGCCAGAAGAGAGCGGGTCTGGGCGCCAGAGGGTGCTGGGTGGAGTGAAGTCTGTGTGGGGAGGTCCAGCGTGGCAGCTGGGGGTGGGGTATGGACAGGGCTTCCAGTCCAGCTCGTGCTGTGTCCCTGACCTGAGCTTTGGACGTCTTTGTTCTGTACTGTGTGCCATGTGGCCCACAGTGACCGCTGCCGTGTGGGCACAGCACGGCTGCACCCTCGGCTGCTGCTGCCTGTAGCTGACGGGAGGGGCTCAGCCAGGACGAGGCGTGTGTGCGGGCTGTGTCCTGCGGTCGGCTGCCGTCCTGGCCGTCCCCTCACCCGGCAGCCCCCGCCCTCCCGGAACCTGCCTGCTGGTGCCCCTTGCCCAGATGGCGCACGGCGGGCCGGAGCAGCGGCTCTCGGTGGGGAGCCTGGGGTGGGGGCCGGCCGCGGGCACACACTCGCGGCCCCGCTGGCCAGGCGGGTGGGCACGACCCAGCCTCCTGGCTGCCGGACAGGAGGCCACCTGGGGCCCTCGGCCGTGAGGGGGCCGTTTCCACGGGGGCCCCTGGCCGTCAGGCAGTGTCGTCTGTCCCTGCCAGGAGGTCGTGCCTGTGTGGAGCCCGTGGCACGCGCAGTGGTGAGGAGGAGCCCCGGGCTGGCCAGCGCACCCAGCCCCTTGCAGGCACCCCGAGCTCAGAGGCCCACGGACCGGGGCCGCCCGGGCGTGGAGGGGAGTGAGACCCAGCACCGTGGGGCTTCGCCCCAGTGTCCGCGCATAAGGTCGGGGCGCCGGAGAGCGGCCCTGAACACGGACGGGAGAGGGCAGGTGGCGTCGTTCTCGCTGGGAACCAGTGGTAACGTGTCGTGTTGTGTCCTAGGGAGGCGCCAGATCCACCACCTGGGGAACCAGCTGCAGCTCAACCAGCACTGCCTGGACACAGCCTTCAACTTCTTCAAGATGGCCGTGAGCAAGCACCTGACGCGCGGCCGCAAGATGGCCCACGTGATCGCGGCCTGCCTCTACCTGGTGTGCCGCACGGAGGGCACGCCGCGTATCCTTTGCCTCGGCCCGGCTCCGGCGGGCGCGGCGCTCACGGCCGCTGGGCTTGTACGTCACCGAAGGCCCCGGGACGAGCCGCTGGCGGCGGCCGCCGGGCTCCCAGCTCGAGCGGGCCGTGGGCCGTGGGGCCGGGGCCGCCTGCCCCGCGCCCCGGCCGGCCCCCCTCTGCGCTGCTCGTGCTCCCTCCCGCCATCACCCTGGGCTCCCCACCGCCTGCTCGGGCCCCTGCTCCCGGCCCGTGTCGTCCTCGTTTCGTGACGGCGCGGTCTCCTGGTGCCTCCTGTCGGCGGCGTCCCTTCCTCCTGCGCCCGGGGGGGTCTGGCGGACTCGGGGCGCACATCGCTCTCCGGCGTTTGGACGGCGGTGCCCCCGGTCTCGTGCTCCCGGGCTCCCGACGAGCTGGGCGCCCTGACCCTCGGCCCTGGGCCTGGGTGGCTGTGCTGTTCCCGGAGCCCCTAGCGCCGCCTCGTTCTTCGCTCTGAGCTTGGGCCCGGAGTCCCCGCCGCCGCCTCTCGAGCGGCTCGCGGTTCCTGCCTTGGCATCACACGTTCACGGCACGGCCCGCCAGCTGCCTTCTCGCGTGCCCTCTCCTTGTCCCCACTTATCTTTCACTTTGGGGCCTCTCTGTACCCCCACATCCTCGTTCCTGCTCCTGCGCTTCCAACCGAAGGCTCTTCATGTCCTCCGAACGCTTCCTGCTCACGTCCCCTTCTGGGGGGAACGGTGCCTCCTCCTCTCCTGGGGCAGCAGCCACCCTCGGGCTCCTCTCGGGCCCTCTGCGTCCCCGGTGGCTGTGTCTGCCTGGCAGACGGCCCCGGCCGTGGCTCCTGGTTAGGCAGGTGTGGACTGCTGGGAGGCTCCCGGCGGGCCTGTGTGTGTCCGGGCGTGTTGGGGCCCTTCTGCTTGGGCAGCCCTCAGTATCGGAATCTCCCATTACGCTGTCATAAGATCTTGGAAACTGCCGATTCCAGCCTGCGGCGCCCGAAGCACACGTATGTTCTACGCGGGGCAGGGCCTCGGGCTCCCGCCACAGCACCCCGCCAGAAGGCACCGCCGTGCTGATCGTGCGAGTGCCGGCCTAGTCTTTGCTCTGCCCTCATGGGGTCGTGTCGCTCATGTCACTGAGCAGCGAGAGGCCTGCCAGGGGTCGGTGCGAGGTGGAGCTTGAGGTCGGGCCGGCTCAGGACAGGTCAGGAGCTTGAGGTCGGGCAGGTGTGCAGGCCAGGCTCTGGAATCCGGCCAGAGCGTGGAGCGTCAGAGCTGATGCTCCCATAGGGAGAAGATGGGTGTAGACAAGCTGCAAGAAGAGCCGTGCTGTGCTCTGTGCACCGCGGCAGGGGGAGCGGACATGGCCTTTCTTTCTACATCAGAGTCCCCCCCCCCCCCCCGGCCTGCAGCCGCACCCCTGTCCACCAGAGAAGGGTGTCCTTGATGTCCTGGCCTGTGGTGCCCACAGCGGCACTAGGCACTATCGCTGTTGCCCAGAGGGAGTGGCCGGCCAGGGGCCTGGGATGTGGGGGCAGAAGCGTCAGGGCTGTAACCAGACACCCCTGTTGTTTCCAGGTGGGTTTGTGCTGGTGCCAGGGGTGTTGATGGCACGGCTGGTGCTTACTGGGACCCCACGGAGCTGCCAGCAGGCCTGGGTCTGAGCCCGGGAGCTGTGTGTGCATGGAGGCCTCTGTCACTTGGGACTTGTTGCCATGTTGCCGCCAGCAGGGGCCCTGAGTGGGAGGGACAGACACAGGCTTCGGACTCCGGGGCTTGGTCAGTAGTGGCTGTGGTTTGCAGGCCTGGGCTGGGCTTCCAGGGTCTGATTCTGTGACTCTGGCCACTGCGTGTCACCCCCTCACACTCACCTGAGGACCTCGCTTCTTATTCAGAGGGTGAGATGGTCGAGGACTGACCGTCCTGCCACCAGGCTCCCCAGCCCACCTTTACCTGCTGCCTCATGTGTCCCCAGGGACAACCAGAGCGTTTCAAAAAGATGTTTTTACTCTTTAAAAAAACATTTTTTAGGTTTTTTTTTTTTTTAAGATTTTATTTATTTTTTCCTGAAATAAAACCTGGGGAACCAGCTGCAGCTCAACCAGCACTGCCTGGACACAGCCTTCAACTTCTTCAAGCCTCCTCTCTCTTCAACAGAGAGAGGCAGAGACACAGGCAGAGGGAGAAGCAGGCTCCCTGCGGGGGCCCTGCCGTGGGACTCGATCCCGGGACCCCAGGATCATACCCTGAGCTGAAGGCAGACGCTCAACCACTGAGCCACCCAGATGGCCCTAAACAATGTTTTTAATGAACTATTTTCTTGATGAGTTTTAGATTCACACTGAAACTGAGGGGGAGGTACAGAGATTTCCATGTGCCCACCTGCGCGCAGCCATCCTCCCTCGTGCAGACACCCCCGCCACATGGTGTGTCAGTTGTGCTGATGAACCTGTGTGACGCATCAGCACCCGAGTCCGAGGCTCACCGGGGCTCACTCTTGATGAGGTGCCTTCTGTGAGTTTGGGCAAACGTGCAACGACATGTGTCATCACTGTAGCCGACGGGGAGCCCGTGGTCAAAAGAAGGCCGTGGAACGGCTGGTTGGCACATGTCGGAAGGTGGCCAGCGTCTCCGGGCACCAGGGAGTTGCAGATTGAAAGCCACGATAGGCTGCCGTGGAGCGGGCTGCCTGCACCGGTGTCGGGCAGCCGGGGGCATCCAGGACCCGGGGCACTGCTGGCCAGCCTGTCGGTCCGGCCCTGAGCTGTGTGCACAGGGGCCTCCCCGCTGCGCCGTGTCCATGGTGGTGGGACCTTCCTGCCACCGGAGCTCTGACGGAGGGCTACCTTCGCAGCTTGGCCTCTACCTATGGCTGATGGAAGTCATGGAAATCGGGGAGAGACTCTCATGGTGTCCCTTCCAGAAGCTTCTGGTTTTACGGGGCCCCTTGGAGTTTGGGATTTCTGAGGGGTCAGCTGGCACTGTGTTGTCCACTGTCGGACAGGAAGGGTCGGGTTTGCTTCTGTCCAGGGGCGTCCGGCACGTGGTGCCCGCGGGAGCCCTCCTCTGCTTCACTCACTGCCCGCGGCCCGGGCCCGCGTCTGAGGACCTGTAGCAGCCCCCGCGGCTGTCCTTGGGCTCTGGCCTTCTGTGTGACAGTCACATTGTCTGTTCCTATGAGAAAGCTTCTGGGATCTTTTCATTAGGGTTCATGGATCCATATGTGGGGAGATTGACATTGATGCTCATTTTAACAATAGTGAACCTTCCAGTCGAGGACTATCCTTTGCTTCTTTGGGTGCCCCCCACATCCTGCGACGTGTTACTTGTGGCGAGGGGGTCTTTCCCGTGCTGTGTCAGGCTGTTCCCGAGCGCGTGCCCCGCACTAGCATGGACGGCCTCTGTCTGGGTGGTGACGCGTACGGGTACAGTCGACGTGACGGCCCATACCACAGAAGTCAGTTACCAGTCTTAGTGTTGGAACGCTGGGATCGCCTTGTTTCTTTACGGTGCGCTGCTGTGTGTGGCCACTGTGGTTCATCCCTTCCGATCTGTGTACCTGCCACCTGTTCTTGCCCGTCTGTGCACCTGCAGCGCTGCACGTGCTGTGTGCCCCGGTGGGCGAGGCGCCCTTGGCTGTGTCTGGACCGTGGGCGGTGCCGTCCACACCCGCTGTGGGGGTCTGCAGGCGCCCTCCTGCTGAGAGCACTTGTCAGGAAGGGTGCACATCTCCCACGTATTTATCAGAGTGATAAATACTGGGATGTGTCCCTTAATCGATGAATGACATCAACTAGTTCTTTTTACTTTAAAAAAATTTTTAAAGGTTTTATTTATTTATTCGTGAGAGACACAGAGAGAGAGAGACAGAGAGAGGCAGAGACACAGGCGGAGGGAGAATCAGGCTCCACGCAGGGAGCCCAACATGGGACTCAATCCCAGGACCCCGGGGTCATGAGCTGGGCCCAAGGCAGGTGCTCAGCCCCTGAGCCACTAAGGCGTCCCTTTTAATCCAGTCTTAGAATATTTCTGTTGGAGAATTTCACCCGTTTGAATTAAATGTCTTGTTGGTATATTTGCGTCTAATTCCACCGCTGTTTTGCTGTCTGTTCGTTTGTCCTTTGCTCTCTTTCTCACCAGCTCTCAGAGAACTCAAGTGTTTTATTCTGTTTCCTTGAAGTCACTGGTGTCTCACATGCTTACGTGTCACTGTGTTGCCCCTGCTCTCCGTCACACCCTGTGCCCCCGATGGCAGCCCCGGGCGGCTTGGACCACGCAGTGTGTCACCGTGGCCACCGCCGCTTGCCCTCTCAGCGCCCGTTCACATTTCCCCGTTGTGACCCTTTGCGTCCTGCATTTTTGTGCGTGCATCTGGGCCGTTTCCTTCTGTGTCTGCGGTCGGCCTCCGGGAAGACGCTTCTCTCCGCTTTTGTCTGTATGATACATGTTTACTTTGAAGGATGTCCCTGTGGCTGGCGGTGCTTCTCGTGGCGCTCACTGGTCTCCGTGCCTCTCCCCGTCCTGTCCAGGGGACTCTGCATCTTCCCGTCACTGTTTTCAAGGCACTGACCTCCCCACTCCCTGCTGGCAAGGAGTGTGTTTGTCCTGCTTGTTATTGTCGCTCTGTGTCTTTTGTCTGTCCTGGGGCAGTCTGGGGCACAGTCACGTCTGGTCTGGGGACTGCCCCATCCTCTCTGTTCCCTCTGGGCTCCAGTGCCGCCACAGCATCACGTCCCACCCTGGGTTTGGCAGTTTCTGTTCTCTGTTTGCTTTTCTTCTCCTCTCTCTATTTCAGTCTGTTTTCCCAGGACCTGTATCTGTGAGTTCCCTTGACCTTTCCTCTGTGTGTCTAACCTATCTGGTTTTGTTTTTTTTTTTAAGATTTTATTTATTGATCCATGAGAGACAGAGAGAGAGAGAGGCAGGCAGAGGGAGGAGCAGGCTCCATGCAGGGAGCCCGACGCGGGACTCGATCCAGGGACCCCAGGATCACGCCCTGGGCTGGAG